GCAACCACATCTGCTAAGCTTAGGTCTTTACCATCTTCATAAAATACCTCTATAGCTCGCCTAACGTCGTCAGGGAAGCACGCCATCAGACTCTCCCTCAGAACGATCTCCGTTGCGACAGAAGTGGTGACACCAAGGACTCTGATGTAGCGGCGGAACTCAGCCAGAACGCCATCAACAGTATCACAACTCATATTCCAAGTCCTCGTAGTGAGCAACTTCCAAGCTTCATGAGTCTTCAGCGAAAATGCTTTTCCTAGCGCCTTCACTACATTTGAATATGCAGCTTCAGCTTCAGTATCCTCATCAATGTCGTCAACAGCTTGTCTGGCCACATCTTTGGCAGACCCTTTCATGAACAGCACAATATATTCGGCCTTTTGCTTGGCAGTCCACTTGGAAGCTGTTGCCACAGTGTCGAAGTCACGCAACCACAGAGCAAAGTCACCAACGCCATCATAAGGGTTGAGCACGCTCTCGAGTTTAAAGGGCATCTGGTTGTTCTTGATCTCCTGGGTCTGGGCACCAAATGTTTTAGATGCCCGTAGAACTGTGCTTAACACAACAGCACAGTTGAGCCGAGAGGCAGAATTGTACTTGCGTACACGGCAATAAGGAAAAAGCTATGGTAAATAGATCATTCACGTGCGCACATGTGGCGCGGCACAACCTATAACGGTATATGCATCGCAGCATCTATGGAGGCATAGCAATATCACAACAATCGTTACGAAAGGAGACAGGGCTTACAGCACTACGTGTCTCGTCTCAAGGGCGAGCTAAAAGACAGGAGGAATGTGTGATCCCCGTGACAGAACGGAGCGTGCAGTGCCCTTATTGGAACGGCAAAATAGGCGAAGAGCTCTTAAGCGAATGCTGCTCGTCGACGTGTCTTGGACGCACCATTGGCGAGTGTCGCACCAGTCGCGGTCAATCACCCCAATGACCCACAAACAGGAATCAATGAGTACCTCCACTTCTTGATTATCAGTTGTGATGCTCACGTACTTTTCTTCGACTTTCTTGTACATACCAGGATG